TTGTGACCCAGAAAACACACAGATGTAACAACCTTTTCAGTAAAGAATACTTACCCTTGTAACATGCAATGCACTCGGGAACTTTTTCTATTATCTGTTCTACATTAGTTCTTTCTAAAAAACACCACTTGCAAATTACTAAATTAATTTCATGATTAATTAATAGGCTACTACTGGCAATTTGGAAAAACAAAAAAAGCAAGAACACTTCCAGAGACCGGTAAGTAGAATTGCCTAGAAGAAGAAAGAATTAACTTTAGCCGAGACAGAGATGAGGAAAAACATGTTATAAGGGAAAAAACACACAATAGTGGAAGTTCTGGAAGTCTCTTCATAGAAAATATCAAGACAATAACTCCTGTCAGTGCTGTCACTAAAAAGAAACATAACTTAGTTAGAATAGCTGCCTGTTATTTTTTGAGACCATAGTATGCAGATGAATTATCCTGCTCCCAGCTGCTTACTCTCTCTCTCTCTCTCTCTCTGTCCTGAACATCAACATCATTTGCAGGTTGACATTCTAGTTTTTAGAGGATTTTGTTTCAACACATTCAGAGAAAGTATGTCTTTTACTAGATCACAGATGAACTTCAGGAATATTTTACAAGGTACATTGAGTTTACTCAGAACCAGAATTTCTGCTCGACTTTAACTCTGGCCTGGAAGTGGGGAAAAATATCTACCTCTTCTTTGAGTGCTTCAGGGCAACACCCCATGTCTGTAGCAGTTCTTCAGAGGAAACAAGTCAGGTAGAACACTGGTAAGGTTAGATCCCAGACCTGGAGCTCCTGGTCTCTGAAAGAGTCTCATGTCCGGAACAAGTACACTGGCACTAACTACGTTAAACCTAAGGTCTTCCCTCTATAGCATCAGGGATGGGGGCAAGCCTGATGCCTGTCTGAGATAAGTCTGCTACAACGGGCAATGGCTACGTGTTCCCTGTCTAAGAAACTATGTCTTCCCTCGTGCACAGGTCCCTAGACCCTCTCGTGTACTCAAGGACTGTGTTCTTACAATGAGCTCCCCCTCCTCCCACCTTTCCCCTGCAATATGCCTTATCATTTCCTCCTCTTCATGGGATTTTTCCTATCAGTGTGTAATGGCTCAAATGTAAAACAACAACAACAAACACTCCACCCTGTTTCTGCTTCCTGCAAACGCTTGCCCCCCATCTTTTTTCAGTAGCTCATTTCCAAAGAACAGCTACTGTGATCTTTAAAAACAAAATGAGATCTTGTCAATATCCTGCCTCCTCTTGTTTAAAATTAATTCCCAAATCCTCACCATAGTTCTATATTAAACAGCCCCAATTACCTCTGTGATTTTGTTTCCTTTTGTTCTGCCTGGTCATTCTCTTTCACTAGTATTGATTGGCCTCCTTGCTGTTTCTCAAACATACCAAATATGGGCCCGTTTCTTGGTCCTTGTAGTTTCTAGTTCTTCTCCCTGGAAATTTTTCCCCCATCTATCCAGCGGATGTTGTATCTTTATTCAGGTCTCTGCTCAAATGTCACCCAATGAGAGAACCGGCCCTGACTATCTGATCTAAACTGAAACCCTCTTCACCTTACCTCCTGCACAGATCACAGCTTGACATTATATTTAATATGTTTGCTTATTTGTTATGTCTCCCCCGCTTAAATATAAGTTCCATGTGAACAGATGTTTTGTTTCATTTATTGCTCTATTTCTAGCACCTAGGAAGTACTTTGGACATAACAGGGGTTTTATAAATCTTTGTTAATAAATTAATAAATGCGAGACCTTTCCAGCCAGTCCTGGGAAGACAAAACTCAGAGGTGAAACTAAGTTGATTGCAATGTTATGGTTACTGAAATATGATTATTTACATATAAGAGTTTGTTAGCTGAGAGTCCTAACGACTCCAGTTTTAATTCTAGATAGCCATTCTTCTACATGGTCCATTCTAGCTCAAACTTTATGGTTATTTCTACATTAGTTTTCTTAAAAAACCTTTCATGAAGTTACCACCTTTCTCTGGAACCTGATAGTGTTCCAGAGAAACTTACCATCAACACTGAGACTAAATTTTCTACTTCCGTTTTCAAGGTCTTCTCTAACCTTATTTATACTTTTGCCTTGTCTTATTAATCAACTTCAGTATTCAGCAGACTTTTTTCCCTTCTGGTTGAAACATATGCCATGTTTATTTTCACTTCTAAACCTTGGCTCATGCTGTCCCTAACATGCAGAATGCTTCCTTCTGTCCCATTCCAAGATGCTCCATTCTTAAAAATTTTCTCAGTTCTCAGCATCTTCATGAGCTTCTCCATCCTATTCCCACACTTATAATTCATCCTTCCTATCTCTGAGTTTATATGTCCAGTGCCTGACAGTATTAGATATCTGCTAGGCTCAATTACTGATCATTGGATGGATTGTTTAATTGAATATTTGAAAAAAGTTCCCATTAAATATGTTTGATTTTGCCTGTGTTATGGTTTTCCTCTAAAATGTAAAATTATAACCCAGATTTAACACATATTTTATTTTCACTTTCATGAAATTCACTATGTACAATACTATTTATATCATTCAATTCTGAGTATTACAAAGGGGGAAAAAAAAACCTGGCTAGGAAAGTCAACTTGATTACATATTTATACCCTTTATTTCCTTCTTAACACTTTTCCCTTCTTCTGTTTTTGCACCTAGTTTTGTTGGGCACACCCACATCCAGTATTTCAAGTAAAACTGATATAAAATGTATACACTGCGTGTATCAGTCTGGATCTAATCAGGAAAGGAAACCACAGAGTGGGTTAATTTTAATATAAAGAATTACTAAGCTCTGGTAAAAGAATGACTATAAGGAAACTGTACACAGTATTCTTGGGAGAACACACAAGGAAGGACAACCTTGGTCGGGGGGAGGTCTACGTATCCAAGGCCGGGGTTCAGAACCTACTGGAGAAGGTGTAATTCAGCCCACTGGGTAGCAGACAGGCTTGCCGGTATTTTCTGGTTACAGTTTTTCTGCAGTCCCTCTTAATTTCAGGTGATCAGAAATCCATGGGATAGGCTTATAGAGAGAAAGGGAGTCTAGGCACAGGTGTGGTGCCCAAGCTAGCAGGTGTGGGGGATGGGGATGCAGGTGTCAGCTGCAAAGCAAGTGGTAACTCAGGGTGCCAGTGTCGGCAGGAGGCCTTGCGGTCAGTTTCCACGAGAAGGCTGCTGGAAGGTTAAGGTGAGGTTGGGCAAAGGCTGCAAGGTTGCTGTCCCACTGTGTTGCAGCAGGAGATACCAGGAGAGCACCTTCCCTCCTGCAATGTCTCTCCAGTGCCCTCTGCTGAGAAAATTTAACATGGTACTTTCTGTGGAAGTGCTTAGAGATCTTGCCATTATCACAGCATATATTGAAGGGTATATTAGAGCTGAAAGGAAGTAAATTGATAACTGGCATAGTTAGATGTATTTGTCAAGGATAAATGTATTTAGGGAGCATGTATGGATATCCTGGCAAAAAGAATCAGTATCGGAATATGTCAGTAATGGACAAATAAATACAATTAAGTCACATTTTTCAAATGGCTGCACAATAAAAATATTCAGGTATATCATTTTTTCTATACTTCATTTTAGAATTCTTTAAAAGACATTGAGGTGTATCATACATATAGTAAATCACACAAGTCATAAAAGCATATACATTTTTTCATTTTTTAGTTTTTATATACATACACATATTTCTCCCATTTTACAGCTGAGAACACTGAGACTCAGAGAAATTAAGTAATTTGTCTTATATTTACATGTATTTATGTATATGTCTGTCTGGAAAAAGTCCAGCTATTATTTTACCTGGCAGCCAAGGAGACTGGATTCAAATGCATTTGCGTGAACAATGACTTCACTGTACCAGTCAGTGGAGGCAGTAGACACCACTGAGTGAGCATATGTACTGTGTGGCTGTTGCATTCAAAATAACTAAGTTGAGCAATGAATCTGCATCAAATTTTGCGTTAAGCATGAATATTCCTCCACAGAAACTATTTGGATGATTCAGAAGGCTGCTGCTATGGGCAACTGGTGATTGGCAGCTTCATCAGGACAACATGTCTGCTCATGCATCTTGTGCAGTTTTTTGGCAAAATATCAAATCACTCAGGTGACTCAGCTTCCCTACAGCCCAGATTTCGTGCCCTGAAACTTCCTGCTTTTCTCAAAACTAAGATCACTTTTGAAAGGGAAGAGATTTCAGACCAATGATGAGATTCAGGAAAATACAACTGGGCAGCTGATGGCAACTGGGAGAACTGTGTGAGGTCCCAAGGTGCCTATTTTGAAGGACTGAGGTGCCATTGTCCTATGTACCATGTTTCTTGTATCTCGTATCTTCTTCAATAAATGTCCTTATTTTTCATATTATGTCGCTGGATACCTTCTGATAGATGATAGTGTGTGTGTGTGTGTGTGTGTGTGTGTGTAAAACATACTTTAAGTAGTGACTGGCACTTAATACTCTTTAAATATTAGACATTATTAATGTAGAGGAATTAGTTAAGTTAAAGGGTTGTAAAAGGATTATGTAGTCCCAAGCAATCAATATGTTTCTCAATCCCAGCCAGAACTCCTCAAATTTTGAAGTTTATCTATTGAAAAACTCGCAGAAATTAGAAGATTTAGGTCCTGACTCTCAACTACTTTCCTTAATAAAATCTACCTTAGAGGGCTGTCATGAAAGTAAAAATTGGCCTGCTCAGGGAAAGCATATTGTGAATTATAAAGGACTATTACAGGCATTAGAATTATCAGCTACAGAGCGGTAACAAATCAGAAGAGTACTTGTCTCTACCCCAGCCAGTTTTTCTGAACTCGCTTATCTCTCTGTCTTCTGCAACTCCAGGTATTTTCTTGCTAAGTGCTTTCTCCCGTTCGTGAGAAAAGTTTTCTCCCACCTTAAATCCCGAAGGCAAGGTTGAAGATGGAGAGAAGTCAGTAATAGCCATTCTTAACAGAACTGGGATACTCTGCTGGGTTTTGGCAGCTGCTGAGATATAGCACCATTTCCTGGGATGAAGAACATTTCAGGGGCAACCTACTTCCCCACCTAGAGCCCCGTTAGGACGGCAACCTCACCCAAGACGCAGAGCACGACGGAAATTGTAGTTTCCGAAGGCCCAGCTCAGTCTGCGCAAGCGCTCGGAACTTCCTCCCTCTCCCCGCCCCACCCCTGACTCTCCCGGATAAGGAAGTGGCCAGTGATGCCACGCGTTCTGCTGGCAGCTGACGTGGGCTTCTGGGAGTTGTAGTCGCTGGGGGCAAGCACCGACTGTAAGGAGACGTAGCCTTCCCTGGGGTCCGCTACTGCAGTTGGTTCCCCGCCGGAGTCGCCGGGTCAGTCGGCCTCCCTCGCCTTAGGGCACTACCCCTAAGGTTGAGAAGCCGCTTTTCTTCTCCACCTTGCCCTCTCGGGCGCTGGATGTTCCTTTCCCCGCAGTCCATTTCTCTGCCTAGTCCTCTCCCTCTACGGTCCATCTCCCAAGCCCGGGTTTAGCGGGCACTCGCCCTCGGGGAGAGACAGGGCCGCGACCTTCTCGAACCCGGTCCCCGTCTTGCGTGGACCCTCTTCAGTCGGCCCCTCCACTGGCTTCCCTGACTGCCCCGGGTCTCTCCGCTTCGGCAGCGCTGCAGTCAGGCTCCTTCCACACACACTCTCTCTCTCTTTTTTCCCTCCAGGGATGGACGCTTCCTGGCGCCAGGTGGCCGGTGGCCGAGGCCGAGCCCGAGGACGGGCCACTGCGGCCCCCTCCTCAGGAAATGGATTCCATCTCCGCGGAGCCGGAGGAGGGCGTGAGAAGGGGTCGCTGGGCGCTGCCGCTCCTGGCGCCAGCCCCGGCGGCGCCGCGCCCGCTGCGGCTGCAGGTAGCTTAGCCCGGCGCAGCCCCGCGGGAGCTGAAGCGCTGCAGACTTCCGTAGCCAGTGGTGAGAATGGCTCCCGCGCTCGGTCTCACCTGGATGCCTGCCGAGGCTCTGCCGAGGCCGAACTGCCTTTGCCCTTGCTCTCATTTACTGCTTTTCTTCTCCTTGGGGAGTTCACTATTGGCCACACCTCTCAAGCCTTTCAGACAGCTACTCTCTTCGGTATTCTAGGCAGATTCCCATATTAATTGTATCTTAATTTTTAAAATCTTTTACCTTCATTTTAATTGATGTTAATCTTTGCTAATTCTCTGTCCAGTATTCCTCCATTCACTCTTTTTGCCTACTGTCTCTCTGGATCAAAAGTTGCAAATTGTGGTCCGGAGGTCTAGTCTATACTGTGGTTTGGTTTGGTTAACACAAGCTTTAGATCTGAATTGGTTCTCATCGTTTTTTGTTTTGTTTTTTTCTTTTGAAAGTCTCATAAAAATCCGTTTAACAAGTTTTCTTGTAAAATACTCTCAAGGCTTCATGGCAACTGTCAGCAGGACTGAGTCGTAGAAATCCCATTTAGATTGGGCTTTGGCACTAAATTTCTCATTGCCCTTCTTTCTTCTGGGGGCCAGCTGTCATCTCCTATCTTCACCTGCTTGTTTTAGTTTACTGACTTTAATTGTCTGTGTCGTGTAGGCTCTTTAGCTTGTGGTACTTTCTTGGTTCCTATTCACAAATTTTACTTCTTTTCCTGGATGTGGACTCCTCCGGCATCTCAGTATCCTTAATTCAAGGCTGTGTTTTGGTGGAGCCTGAGAGCATGCGCACAGCAAACACTAACTTGGCTTTACTAACGGAGGAGGGCATGGGGCCACAGGAATGATCCCTGAAATCATTTCTGCGTGTGTGTGTTTAGAATGTATTTTCGGAATGTATTGGGAAATACATTTAGTTTTTGGGGGGGGGGGCAGGCAGAGCGAACTGAGCTTCTGAATGCCTCTTTTTCCTAAGCTAATTTTAAAATTAGGTGATATTCTGTTAGCTTGCAGTTACTGAGTTTCTGATGGTGGTGGTGAAGTTTGCAAGTTGGAAACCTGTAAACAGTTTTGGTAAACTTTATTGGGTTTTTGTGGATAGTAGAAAGTGAGCATTCTTCACCTGGATAATTGAGATTTGAGTGTAAGAAATAATACATAGGAAGGTTGCTGTGTCAGCTTTTTTTGAGATGCTTTTATGTGGACACATTGATCAGGCTATGAATGTTTTTATTATGTGTTCTAATTCAACCTTTTAAGAAAATATATCCTTAACTGCTAATTTCCCATAATTAATAACATTTATCATTTCTCTTACTGTGCATCCAGTTTTGAGTCATGTATTTTATAGATATTAGTTTTCTCTTAATACTAAAAGATTTCTAGGTAGGCACTGTACATTTTCCTCCAGTTTCACTTGAAATACTACAAAATCCCCAACCAAACTGGCTGCAACAAAAAAGGGAAAATATTTTATGAAGGAAAGAAAAGCTTATCTTAGTAGTAGCTCATCACTTTCAGGCATAAAGTAAATTTTAAACTAGCAGTTGAAATTTTCAAATTAGTACATTTAAAATCCTCTCAATATAGGCACTGATAAATTAAGATCAATTCAGTATGTTTGTAGCTCCTTTCTTAAACTGTGGTTGCTGTCTCTAAGAGTTTACTAACACTTAGTACTTAAAGAAAATTCCTGTGGTCCTTGCTCTTGAGGAGTTTGCAGTCTCATCGGGAATGAAGTAATCTAATTCTTTTTGAATTGCTATTTAACCAAATAATAAAATGAGAAGTACAGACAGTGCTAAAGAGGGTACTGGAAGAAATATATAAAATTTAGCATTTCTTTTTTGGAAGAAAGTTAGAAACATTTTCTGTGTTAGCAACATTTTGTGTGTCTTTAATACTAAATATGTTGCGTGACTACATTTTAATAAAGGCAAAAAGTCCTTGAGCTTTCTAAGAAGCAGATTCTATAAATGTAGTGGCTATACATTGAATATCGTTCAGTCTTTTGGTGGGCCAGGCCAGCGTCGGCTGTAGTGTGGAGGAGGTGGTTTTAAAAAGCACCTGCCTCTTGCTGATTCGGATGTGTTCCCATGTGGGCATGTTTCCCTCTTAAAAATAACTGTGTACAGTTTGTTTTTAAACATCCCATTTTAGTTTTTGTCAATGTCCTCATTTTGAGGTTATCATCAGGTTTTTTTTAGATACTTTTATCATACCTTTTTATAATTTTAAAAATTGATTTATTAGTCACTGTTCCTAGAACAGTTTGCTGCATTTAGCAGGGTATTTTACAAAACTGTAAGTTTTCATTGTGGCATTCCCTCTTGTTGTGTGACAAGAAATTTGAAAATAACTTTTTCATGGATGATAGTAAAATAGAGTGCCCAAAGATGACTTTTAAATCTACTAAAAGGATTGCATTAGTACATTATGACTTGCATTTTGAGAGATTGTTTTGTGGAAATGAAAATCATTTTTCCCCCCTTTAACCAGAGCTAATGTCTCAAAAGAAATTTGAGGAAATCAAGAAGGCTAATCAAGCTGTGGCAAAAAAACTTGTTGAAGAACACTTCAGCTCCTCCTCTGAAGAAGAAGGTGATGAAGATTTGGAAGGAAAACAGGGAAAAATAGTTGCTAATACATTTATAACTTACACTACTCAGACAGGTACTATATGATCTTTTAAATGTAGACTTTTTGGTTATTAATGAAAATATATTCTGACTGTTTACAAACACTTTTACTCTATATGGAACAGCTTTTGCATCTTAAGAATGAACACTTTTGTCTTGTAGAGTTGCATTTTTGTACATTTTACTATTTGAGTTATATGTTGTAGAACATTAATCTTTCTGTAAAGCAAATAGAATGGCAATGTCCTTTACAGCCTTAGAAGCTGTCCTGTGTATTTAGTTGGTATTTCCTTAGAAGGCCGGGAGGAGGGCGGCAAAGCTCCCTGTGAGGTAAGTGGGTTCGGGTTGTTCCTGGTTATGATTTGATTGGACCTAAAGACGTTGAATACTCCTTTAAATCTGTTCATTTTTTTTCTCTTTTTCATCATGAAGTAAATTTCATTTCTTGACTTTATTTTTTTTATATCTTACAACTTTTGACTTTCATACCTTTTTTTTTTTTTTAACTGAGTACTCAGGTTTGACCTGTACAATCACATGATAAGTTGTTGATATCCGGCTTACTCTTAAAGCCATATTTGGACACCAGAACTTTATCAGAGACAGTTATTCTTTTTCTGTGAGCACAGCCTTTGAAATTTTCTGATTCTTTTCTCAAATTTCAGACTTGCCGGGTCAACTTCCTGATGGGTATCGTTATCTTGCTGGCCCATGGACACATCAAACATAGGTTGAAAGATAACTTACTTCTCTTTTTTTCTTTATCTCAGTTAGGAGCACCACAGTTTTCCCAGTCACGCACCCACACCAGAAATCTGGGAGCAGGGATGGCGCACACACGAGTGTGTTCGTTCACTGCCACTCCTTTCCTCTGCACATGTCGGAGAGATACCGTATCAAACAACACTCTTTCCTTCTTCATGTTGACATGAATGTCGACTTTTAAGAGCAACCTAATCCAAATGTTACCAAGTCCTCCTGAGTTTTACTTCCTAAATTTCTTAAATCTATCCCTCTTCTCCCCATATTCTGACATTGCCTTAATTTAGGCCCCTATGGCTTTTTAATGTGTTTATTAAATTCACATGATAACTGTGAGGTAAATATTACTATTACTATTATTATTTTAAAGATGAGAAAAATGAGACAGATACATTAGGTAACTCACTAAAGGTTATTTTTTGGTTTCTCTGCTACAGCTGCCTCTTAACTGGTGCTTTATGTTTCTAGCCTTGGCCGCCTCATACTCATTTTCCTTCGTTGCCAGGGTGATTTTTTCAAAATGCATGACTTCAAATGCCATGTGATCCACCATGACATTTTGGGTGGTAAACTCTATTGCTGAGGCCAAACTTTAATACAATTTTAAAAGAAATCTTATACAAATCTTAAAAGGTTAGACTTCATTTTTTTAAGACCTATTTCATCTTGTTCTTGTTTTCCATTATGTGTTAACTGTAAATTAGATGACATTTAAAATGTTATATATTTGTTAAAGCTAGCTATGTGGAAAAGCAAAATAAACACAGAATGTGATTATGAAGTCTGCTTTTAAGGATACTCTTTAAACTTTAATGTTTATTTAAAATAAAACAATTGTTTTTAATAATTTTATAATTTATAGTTTTGGGAGTGACTTTATGTATATTTTGTTTTAATATCTTAAATTATATTATGGTAGAGCAAGTTTTTACAAGTGCTGTGTTTCCTTACATGATTTTAGAAAGTAAAGAATTATTCAGACATCCTTTTTATTTAAATTTTTCTTTTTGGTTAACTTAAATTTTGATTTGAACCATTTTATTACCATAAGTTCTATACTTATGATAGTTTATACTCTTAGCCTCTATTGAACAATCTTTACTGTATTAAAGGCGTGAAGGTTTATTTCATTTACACTAAAGTGTCTCAGATTACTGCCCTTTTGGTGGCATGTGTGCTTTGGGTAGCTTTTCTGCCTTTCATTTTGCGTTTCACCTGTTATTTTGGATTTTGCTGTAGTAACCCCTTGCTGTAGCATAGTATAGTGATTGAGAGGGCTCGTAGTGGTTAAGAGTCAAACTGAAGTGCTTTAGTCTTATCATCTATAGAATGGAGTTACAAATAGCTCGTTTTTCCTACTAAAACTCTCATAGTACAGTGCCTACCAAATAAATGCTCAGTAATTGCTCAAGAAAATATAGTTTAATTTTTTTCTAAGAAGTTCATGCTTCCTTTTTAAGCAGAAATACTCTGCTGTAATGACCTCGGGATCTTTTTATTCAACGAGTGTTTATTAAGAATATGCTGTGTGTCAAACACACACAGTCATGTGCTTATTGTATTTAGGCTAAATGACTGTTGAACTTTAACATTCAGTTTCTTTCACTTTGCCTTTTGACATGCTTTCCCTTTGACATTTTGCTGCTCTTGTTTATGGCTGTGCCCCCACCAAATTTGTGAACCATTGTAACAGCAATAAGAGCAAGTATACTCTGAAAGGGTTTTGAATCAAACATGTAAAGATTTAAATCTTGGACTTTGTGACCCCTTGGCAGCTTGCTGGGTACTTTTCTTAAACTTCTTGTTTTAAGCTATATTTTGAGCAATTGATACTGCTGGCCAGTTTTCACATACTGTAGTGGTATTAGTGAGTTTGTGTTGTTTTCAGATGTTGCTTAACATGAAGTTTTCAATTTTTAAATTTCAAGATGGAGATACACGTGAATTAGAGCGAACAAAGCAGTATGTAAATGAAGCTTTTCAAGCAGGGGCTATGACATGCTTAATTTGTATTGCTTCAGTGAAGAGAAACCAGCCAGTAAGTTTTTCTCTTTATCTATATTAATGTCTCTGCCCGAAATATCTTATTTTGTATTTATAATACTTAACCATTTATTATGCTTTTGCTTATTTTTGTTTATTGTTTAAAAAATGCTTCATTTGAGAATTTTATTGATCTTTATTTTGTAAATCTGTAATTAAAAAAAAATTCCTCTAAATGAGCATCCAGTATTTTTAGCACTATTAATATAACTGGAGCAAGTATCTTCAGTAAAGTTCATTTCAATTCAATGTAGCACTTTTAATATCTTTGTACATTAGAGATTTCCACAAATACTAAAATGTTAACATGAACTATATTTCATTACTTTCAGCACATTGGAAAGATAGACATGGTCCCTGCCTTCAAGGAAGTAGAACCTAACAGTGACCATGTTTATTAGGGAGTTTTTCTTGTTTTGAAGCAACTGTGGAAAGTGACTAGAGTCATTGGGGAGCAATGGATTCAGACATAACTTACCTATTTAGGGTTGTGATGGCCTGGGAGTTATGTATGTATAAGTTTAAAAGGGCATTAATGGTGCAATTAAGAGGAAGTGATGACTGGATATGATAGACTCAACATTCAGACCCCAGATTAATCCACTGCTATTATAGCAGTCCTGCCTAGGGGAAGAAAATTGGGCCAAAGGAAGTGGGATGCTCACACAGAGTGAATCAGAAAATTTAACCTATATCGGATAGGGTAGTGTAGCAGATACCTTCGGTGCCTGGAATCACATCTGGTCGGTTTATTCTGATTTCTGCTGCAAGCTCTCCTTGAGGGGATACAGTTCCTACCTTAAATGCTTGTGGGGGTGGGGGTGGGGGGGAGGGGGAGAGAGAGAGAGAGAGAGAGAGAGAGAGAGAGAGAGAGAGAGAGAGAGTGTGTGTGTGTGTGTGTGTGTGTGTGTGTGTTTTAACCTCAGTGCATCCTCTTTGGGAACGGACTCAGCCCGCGCAGAGGCGTAGTGCAGAAGCAGAGGGTAGGCAGTGTCCCCGGGGGCAGCATTCCACCACAGGGCATTGGTGGATGAGTGCTCAGCCTCCTCTTTGTGAGGGGCTTGGCTAGGGTAGTGTTTTAAATAGTTTTCCAGAGGATCCCTAGCCTGACTGTTAAGAACTTTGGCTCTTAACAGTAATCAGCTCGACAATGTACTACTTACCGGCATTTCCTCTTCCCCACTGGTCCTCTCACTCCCCCATTCCAGTTCTTTTCTCGGTCGCTGACTGGGGAGGAATTCAGCTAAAAAGTCGGCTTTTCTTTTTAAATGCCGTTGCCTGTTTATGCAATATATGACATGTCTGACTTTATCAAACAGTTGAGAAGTGTTATAGTGAAAGGACTGACTTTTGTCAGTTATATCAAAGTGTTGGTAGGTTTTAAAAATTGCTATTATTCCTTAAGCTTTTAAATTTTATATATATATGTGTGTGTGTTCTCAAGTTTTTTTGCTCACTTAATTTTTAGAATTTAACATAAGTGCTAGACGAATAGTTTTAATATAACAACAAAAAAATAGAGATTATATGTAGTTTAAGGAATTCACTGAAGTGTTATTTATAATTGGAAATAACCTAAATGTCCAACAACTGGAAATGGGTTACATGATTTATGGTATATAAATCTACATGAAATATTATACAGCTATAAATATGTTGTGTGAATGTGTTTGACAAAGGTAAATATTTATACAATGTTAAAAGAAAAGGCTATGAAATTACATAGCAGTCAGTACAGTATCACCTCATTTAAAAAAGAAATACGTTTAAAAAATGTTAGAGACTGACCAGAAATTTAGCAGTAGTTATTTCTAGATGAATGAATCTGGATGGTTAATAATATTTTTCTTACTGTAGGGAAAAATTATTTTTCTTTAATCCTTGGTTTGCTCTTTAAAATAATTTACTGTGGTGCTTATTTTAAAGTAGTGTTTAATTATCAAAGAAAAATCATTGTGTACATGTTAATATCTGATACTTTTGTCTTAGGTTTGGAGTTGTTCAGGATGTTTCTGTATATTTCACATGCCCTGTATCCAGAAGTGGGCTAAAGACAGCCAGTTTCTGGTGTCTTCTTTGACAGATGATGATTTTGAAAAGAGAGATTATCCCTGGCCTTGGTAATTTTTCTAATTTAGTTGGAATATCAAGTTGTAAAATAAATGAAAATTGTAGCTCATAAGTTTCTTTATTGGCAGTTTCAGTATCCATGTTTGGCCTTCAGTTAGTCGTCTGATTTGTGAAGATATGGAACTTAGTAATGGCATTTATTTCCCACTTTGTATAACTACTAGTTCCTTTCAAAAACTAATAAATCATTCAGACTCTATTTTTCCCCTGCAAAACAACTCCTTTGTTATCATTTTTAAACAACTTTCATTTCTTTTCTGTATGACTAGAATTCTTCATAATTCTGGTTCATCTCTTCTGGAGTTCATATTAGTATACTTTAATATCATATTGTATAAGACTGTCATCTAACATATTTTGATCATAGGCTTCCCAATTTTAGCTTCAAAAGTCTTTAAAAACTGCAGGTATATATTACTTAATCTTATTAATTTTTCTACATATATTTTATCAGATGGCTTATTATTCATGATTTGATCTTGAACTTCTGTTATATTTCCAGAAAAATTTGGGGAATAGAAATTTTATATTTCTGCTAAATAAAGACAATGAAAAATTTATCCGTACTGGCAACCAAAAGGGTAGATTTATTTTCAAGATAATGAAGCATAAATTTTAGGTGCTCTGTGTGGTCACAGAAATATTCATTTTTGCAGCTAATTTTATCTTTGTAATTTTTGAGCTCTTTTTCTTAACAGAGACCCCTAAATTGTGTAAGATTCAGGCTTCAGAAAATCTGGATCCACGTCACACCTCCTCTTGTTACAATAAGTACTGATATACAGGGTGGGGCAAAAGTAGATTTATAGTTGTTCATATGGAAAGTAATACAATAGTTAATCAGTAATAATATAAGAATAAACTTTCACCTACTCACAACTGTAAAGCTACTTTTGCCCCACTCTATATTTATAAAATTGTGGCAATGTGGTTTTTAAAAACATTTTAGAAGTACTAGAACTTTGTGAACATTCTTAGTCATTTGTGAGAGATTTTATTCCCTTGTTACCAAAGGGGATATGGAAGTTTGTTTAAATAAAATGATGTGTTCAGATGTCTCTTGCTTTCATATGGTGAAGCCAGGATATAGGTGTAATCTTGGTATGTGCTGTTTAATACAGTAGCAACCAGCCACATATGGTTATTTCCATTTTCAAAAATTATAAAAGCTCTGTTCCTTTCTCAGTTGGATGCATTAGCCACATTTCAAGTGCCTACTAGCCATAAGTGGTTAAGAACTACTATATTGGACGTGGCAGATATAGAACAGTTCCATCATCTCAGGAAATTATTTTGGACAGAATTGTTCTAGGCAGTTGCAATTTATTTTAGTAAAATCTTGTTTTTCACTAGTATAAAAATGGAACAGAGATTGCCTTACATAAAACTAATTAAGTATACTAAATTTCAAAGTGTATTTATATTCCTGTCTTTTGTGTCACTTAAAAATGAAATTAACTTCAGTAATTCTTCTTTGTAGTCCAAAATGTAGGTTTGAATACAAACGATCTGACACACCTACTAGGTACTATTGCTATTGTGGAAAAGTAGAAGATCCACCTTTAGATCCGTGGCTTGTGCCTCATTCATGTGGTCAAGTATGTGAGAGAGAATTTAAACCTCCTTGTGGCCATAAATGTTTACTCCTCTGTCATCCCGGTGAGTTATCTGTTACATTGTTTGTGGGTGGTTATTTCTTTTTATGTTGAGGCAAAACAATTGTGAAAGTTGAATTCAGAACCTAAGTTTACATAAGAAAATATCGAAAGAAAATGCCTTTTAAAGTATCAGTAAGGAAAGCTTTAGAAATCACTGATAGGTATAGGAATTGAAAATTGTCTTTGACTTCTATTCCCTCCCCCGCTTTTATTGGATTCTAGGGCCCTGCCCTCCTTGTCCAAAGATGGTCACAACTACTTGTTACTGTAAGAAAGCAAAACCCATCCCTCGTAGATGCAGTGCCAAGGAATGGTCCTGTCAGCTGCCATGTGGGCGGAAGTTGCTTTGTGGACAACATAAATGTGAAAATCCTTGTCATGCAGGTGAGAGGTCATACTTGTTAGCCAAAGTCAAAACAGTCTGTATTGCTTTTATAATGTGCCTCTCTGTCCTAATTCCTCATTGTGATTTTAGGCAGTTGTCCACCCTGTCCGAGAGTTAGTAGACAAAAGTGTATCTGTGGCAAAAAAGTAGCTGAAAGAAGCTGTGCAAGTCCACTGTGGCAGTGTGATCAAGTAAGTGTACATTCATTGAGGGGGTGGGCATTAAAGAATATAGAAAACAATCAGAAATGCTAATTATGATATAGCTAATTAGGGTTAGTTGGATAAAAGGAGAGGAGGAATAGTAACTCAAATTATATTCATTTGAGGAAACTTTTCCAATTTAATATTTCAGTTAGTGGAGGGGAATTTTTTGATTCAACTTGACAGCTATTTTTTGAATTTTGGACTCAGTACACATGTACTCTCTTGCTAGCTATCCCTTCCTTTCCTTCCCCTGTCTTTAATCAACATGCTTGCCCACTTCTTAAGTTAATCCAATTGAGTAAGGAGGATTGATTTTGTAGATTGTCCTAGAATTGGCATGGCTTTGGTGCCACTTGGAAATCTTTGGCAGATGGCCATATGAAACTATGTGTACTTTTTTCCTGTATTATATTTTAAAAATACACTCTTTGGTGCATAGGAATATGTGTGTATATATAAACATGTATATGTATATATGGATGTGTATATGTTTATAGAGAAAGAACAAGTTATGAAGAGCGTCAGTTGCTTATTTTTAGTTGAAAAGTAGATTATATACAAAGAAAAAACAGATTATGTCACGTACAAAGTCTTTTTTGATAACTTTTAAGTCCTTCACTAGTGCTTATTACATATTATTTTAGGTGTGTGGAAAAACACTGCCATGTGGTAATCATACATGTGAGCAAGTTTGTCATGTTGGTGCTTGTGGAGAATGTCCTCGATCTGGGAAAAGATTCTGTCCCTGTCAGAAGTCAAGTAAGACTATTTTTAAACTTTAAATGAGATATGATTATTTTTTATGCTAACGACTTTCCTAATTAGATTTCTCTGAGTTCCTAATGTAATTTTAGATGTGATGTTAGACTTCTGTACATTTGGATGAGTAGATAGTATAGCATGTAGATTAAGAACTCAGATTTTGGAGTCAGGCATATGTGAGTTCATATCCCACCTTCATAAACTCTGGTGTTCTTAAGTTATATGGGGACAATAATTGTACCTTCGTAAGATGAATGTGAGAATTAGATAATAAAATGCTCATAAGGCATTTAGTGTAGTGCCTAGCACATAAAGGAAACCTAATAATTATAAGCTATTGTCATTATTATGTATTGGGTCATAAATGAATTTAATTTTGGTTCCTTTGAGATAAAGACATAGAAAGGTTGCAGTTTGAGGCGGTTTCCTTAACTCTGCACCGTAAGATTGTTGCCCCTACTTGTCCTAATGAGTTTATGTTGAAGGCGAGTTTCCTAACGTTTTAAAATCTACTTCTTTTTTTTTTTTTTATATCCTGTGAGATTATTAAGAGCAAATGTTTTTATAGCACTATATTATGGGATTCTTCATAGAGGTTTTTACATGTTATTACTTATTTAGATAACTATTTCTGAAGTAGTTAGCTTATAAAAAAAGTTCTTTAGGGTGGTAACTTGTCATGTTTCAAATTCTTTTTAACTTTATATTAACTTTACAAATTAAATTAGAGATTATTTTCATTAAAGTTAATTTTTTCCAATAGTTATATAGATGCAAAAAATTCATGGTTTGGGCTGTCGTCCTTTAGGGAGCCAAAAGGACATGGCGCATTGTTAGTGCTTTATAATAACGGATCTTATTATTAACATTGTCTTTTTGTCTGCTTTTAGAGTTTTCTTTGCCTTGTACAGAAGATGTACCAACTTGTGGAGACAGTTGTGACAAATTACTTGAATGTGGAATCCATAGATGTTCACAGCGTTGCCACCGAGGTCCTTGTGAAACATGTAGACAAGTTAGTCATCTCCTATAATAATCACTTCTAAGGGCTCTCATTACAGTATGTCAGATGAAATTGTTCTATAATTGTTTTCCATTACTTAGTTTTATAAACACCTGTGTCATGATTTGAATGTGTTTAGTGACCTAATGTATATGGTGAAGAAGCAGGAGAGTATGCCAGCAATCAAATCCAAAAATCTTTTGTTTCTTTCTGCTTGGTAAAAGTTTGAACGTTCTCATTTTCATATGGTCTAGAGTGGTGTTATTTGTTCCAAGCAGACATTCAAAGCAAGGATGAGTTGGGCTTTGTGATGATGGAAAGAAACTAATGCTTAGACTTAATTGAGACTTTTAAGCTATGTATATGTTACTTCGATTCTAATCATACTACCAAGTCAACAAGTTAGCTTATAAAATAATCCAGTTTTCTTGCTTTACTGAGACAAGATATGCAGATGTCATGGTGTAACTACATGTACGTGATTTTAACCTGTGGTATTGTTTTACTATTTAGTATTAAATTACAACTACATTTAATAATGGAAATTCATATGAAGTCTGTTTTGGAACAAAGTAAGATACAAACATTTTAGGAAATTTAGCTTTCGTTTTGGTGGAGTCTTTCATATACATTCGTTCTTAAATTTTTTTTCATTTTTTTTAGGAATTATAAAAATTACAAGGTGAAAAAAAATCATGTTAATGAAAGTTAGTTTTAATAGCATTTATTTGCATCTTCCAGGAAGTAGAAAAGCATTGTCGCTGTGGAAAGCATACAAAACGAATGCCATGTCATAAACCTTATTTCTGTGAAACTAAGTGTGTTAAGATGCGTGACTGTCAGAAGCATCAGTGTAGAAGAAAGGTACGTGTAATAAGGTTAAGACACTGCTTTAAAAATTCTCTTGAATTTTTCCTTTGTGGGCCTGTGCTAAGTACCCTCTTGACATGTTCCTCAAATGTTCAGGCATATTCTATGCTTTCCATATGAAATATTAATAAATATTCTTGATTAATCCTAATTGTTTGTATTAGTGGGAAGCCTTACCAAGATTTTTAAATGACAAGGGTTTTTGTTTTTTTTTTTAAATCCTGTGCATAATTTTCTCAGTTTGGTTCTTAAGCTGTTTTTGTTCCCTGATTTTAAAATATAGTGTTAAGAGTTATAGGTCATTTGCAAGAGGCTTAACTTTTATTGTTCAAATCATATTTATAGATACTTGGTTCAGTAGATGGTCAACTGGGGTATTTTATTTAGTTTGTAGATTTTGGGGGGGGTCCTCTTTATCATTGTAAATTATCCCTCTGTCTCTGCTAAGATTCCTTGTTCTTAAGTCCATTGAAATACGGTGATTTCAACTTCCTTTTGCTTGGTGTTAACATGGTATGTCTTTTTCATTCTTTCATTTTTAACTTATTGGTATTTTATATTTAAAGTGGTTTTCTTATGTACAGCATTTAGATATTTTATCCCAGCAGAACAATCTTTGTCATTTAATTCAGGCATAGATCATTTACATTTAATGTGATCTTTAATATGGTTGGATTTAAATCTATCATTTTACTGTTTACTTTTTATTTGCCCATCTTTTCTTTATTTCTTTTCCCTCTGTTTTTAATTTCTATTTTGAGTGTTTGAATGATTCCATTTTAACTCCTTTATTTGATTCTCATACATTTTATGCCCGTGTATTTTATAAACCCAAATACAATGTATTTTTTTTTTGGCTCTGAATAATCAGGTGTTTTTTAAAGAGATTGGAAAAAGATAAGAAAAAGTAGTTTTGTATATTTATCATCAAACTCATTACTTTTGGTGTTTTTCAGTTATTTTATATTAGGTTTATATCTGATTTCATTTTCTTTGTATCTGAAGGACTTTCTTTAACATTTCTTGTAGTGTTATTAATTCTTTCAACTTTTGGAAAACATCTTTAGTTGTTGTGAAAAATATCTTTACTTGGAATTCTAGTTTGCCTATTCTTCCCATTTTTAAAAAGTGTTGCTCCACTATTTTAGCTTGCAGTTTTTTCTAATAAAGAGTGTGCTGTGTTTATCTTTGTTCCTCTGTTTCTAATCTATCTTTTTTCCTTTTGCTATTTAAAAAATTTTCTCTTTATTACCAGTTTGTAGCAATATGAGTGTTTCCTGTTGTTTTCTTCATGTTTCTTTAGTTTGTTTCTTGTTGGGCTTCTTGGATCTGTGGATTTATAGTTTTCATCAAATTTGTGAAACTTTTGGTGTCTCTTCAAAATGTTTTCCCCCCACGCATTGCTTTCTGAGACTGCAATATGTATATTACACTACTTGAGGTCTTACAGCTTGCTGATGCTCCATTTATTATTTAGTTTTTTTTTTAAATTAATTTATTTACTTTTTAAATACATTTGTCTCTGCCTTCCCCCCACCTCTTTCCCTTGCCCCCTCCCACCTTCCCTCCCTCAGCTCTTCCCCTTTGGTTTTGTCCATGAGTCCTTGCTATATGTTCCTTGACTTTCCCCTTCCCTTCCCTTTCCCTGCCCCCCCTTCCCTCTTGTCTCTGTTGATTTCTTTTCCTTTCAGTGTTGCTGGTCATATTTTCCTTGCTTCTTTGCATTGTTGGTTAGGTTCCGCTTATAGGTGAGATCATATGGTATTTGTCTTTCGCCCCCTGGCTTATTTCGCTTAGCATGATGCTCTCCAGTTCCATCCATGCTGTCGCAAAGTTTAGTACTTCTTTTTTTCTTTCTGCTGCGTAGTATTCCATTGTGTATATGTACCATAATTTTTTGATCCAATCATCTACTGATGGGCATTTAGGTTGCTTCCAACACTTGGCTATTGTAAATTGTGCTGCTATGAACATTGGGGTGCATAGGTTCTTTTGTATTGGCGTTTTGGTGTTCTCAGGGTATAGTCCCAGCAGGGGAATCGCTGGATCAAAAGGCAGTTCCATTTTCAGCTTTCTGAGGAAATTCCACACTGCTTTCCATAGTGGCTGCACCAGTCTGCATTCCCACCAACAGTGGACTAGAGTTCCCTTTTCTCCACAGCCTCGCCAGCACCTGTTGTTTGTGGATCTGTTTATGATGGCCATTCTGACCGGTGTGAGGTGATACCTCATGGTGGTTTTGATCTGCATTTCTCTGATGGCTAGTGATGCAGAGCATCCTTTCAAATGCCTCTGGGCCCTCTGTATCTCCTCCTTAGAAAAGCATCTGCCCAGGTCCTTTGCCCATTTTTTGATTGGATCGTTTGTCTTCTTGGAGTAAAGTCGAGTGAGTTCTTTGTATATCTTGGAGATCAAACCTCTATCTGATGTATCATTAGCAAATATATTTTCCCAAATGGTTGGCTCCCTTTTCATTTTGCTGATGTTTTCTTTAGCCGTGCAGAAGCTTCTTATTTTGATGAGGTCCCACTTGTTTATTCTTTCCTTTATGTCCCTTGCTTTAGGAGACATATCAGTGAAAAAATTGCTGCGTGGGATATCTGAGAGTTTCCTGCCAATGTTCTCCTCGAGGACTTTGATGGTGTTGCGACTTATATTTAAGTCTTTTATCCATCTTGAGTTTATTTTTGTGTATGGTGTCAGCTGATGATCCAATTTCAATTTTTTGCATGTAGCCATCCAGCTCTCCCAACACCATTTGTTGAAGAGGCTGTTATTGCCCCATTTTATGCTTCTGCCCCCTTTGTCGAATATTAGATGTCCATAGAGACCTGGGCTTATTTCTGGGCTTTCTATTCTGTTCCACTGGTTTATGGGTCTGTTCTTGTGCCAGTACCAGATTGTTTTGAGTATAGTGGCTTTGTAGTAGAGTTTTATGTCCGGTATTGTGATCCCTCCTACTTTGTGTGTGTTTCTCAAAATTGCTGCGGCTATTCGAGGTCGTTTATGGTTCCATATAAATTTTTGAAATGTCTGTTCTATTTCTGTGAAATATGTCATTGGTATCTTAATAGGGATTGCGTTGAATCTATAAATTGCTTTTGGTAGTATGGACATTTTAAGGATATTAATTCTTCCAATCCATGTGCACGGTATATGCTTCCATTTATTTGTGTCTTCCTTAATTTCTTTTTTCAATGTTGTATAGTTTTCTGCATACAGGTCTTTTGTGTCTTTGGTTAAATTTATCCCTAGGTACTTTATCTTTTTTCGTGCTATATCGAATGGTATATTTTTCCTGATTTCTTCTTCTTCTATTGCATTGCTGGTGTACAGAAACGCCTTTGATTTCTGAATGTTGACTTTGTATCCTGCTGTTTTGCCAAATTCACTTATTAGGTGGAGGAGTTTTTTGGTAGAGTCTACAGGGTTCTCTATGTACACTATCATGTCATCTGCAAACAATGATAGTTTTACTTCCTCCTTTCCTATTTGGATGCCTTTTATCTCTTTCTCTTGTCTGACCGCTGTGGCTAGGACTTCCAATACGATGTTGAAAAGAAGCGGTGAGAGCGGACATCCTTGTCGTGTTCCCGATCTTAGTGGGAAAGCTTTCAGTTTTTGCCCGTTGAGTATGATATTGGCTGTAGGTTTTTCATATATGGCCTTTATTACGTTGAGGAATGCCCCATTGATTCCCATTTTGCTGAGTGTTTTGATCATAAATGGGTGCTGTACCTTGTCAAATGCTTTTTCTGCATCTATCGAGATGATCATGTGGTTTTAGTCTTTTCTTTGATTTATGTGGTGTATCACGTTTACTGATTTGCGTATATTGAACCATCCCTGCATCCCTGGGATGAATCCCACTTGATCGTGATGGATAATCTTTTGAATGTATTGCTGGATGCGGTTTGCCAATATTTTGTTGAGGATTTTAGCATCCATGTTCATCAGCGAAATTGGCCTGTAGCTTTCTTTCTTTGTAGGGTCTTTATCTGGTTTTGGGATCAGGGTGATGCTGGCCTCATAGAAGGAGTCTGGCAGTCTTCCCTCCTCTTGGATTTTTTGGAATAGTCTAAGAAGGACAGGGGTTAGCTCTTCCTTAAATGTTTTGTAAAATTCTCCTGGGAAACCGTCTGGCCCTGGGCTTTTGTGTGCTGGGAGTTTCTCGATTACTGCTTCAATTTCCCCAACTGTTATTGGTCTGTTCAAGCTTTCTGTTTCTTCCTCCTTCAGTGTTGGAAGATTATACTTTTCTAAAAATTTGTCCATTTCATCAAGATTTTCAAATTTCTTGGCATATAATTGTTCATAATAGTTTCTGATAATCATTTGTATTTCTGTGGTATCAGTTGTTATTTCTCCTCTTTCATTTCTGATATTATTAATTTGGGTCCTCTCCCTTTTTTTCTTGATGAGTCTGCTTAAAGGTTTGTCCACTTTATGAATCTTTTCAAAGAACCAGCTTCTGGATTGGTTGATCCTCTGAATTGTTCTTTTTGTCTCTATGTCATTCAGTTCTGCTCTAATCTTGACTATTTCCTTCCTTCTACTTGCTCTGGGATTTATTTGTTGTTGTTTCTCCAGTTCTTGAAGTTGTAGTGTTAGGTCTTTTATTTGAAATGTTTCTATCTTTTTAAGGTAAGCCTGTATTGCTATGAACTTCCCTCTCAGGACCGCCTTTGCTGTGTCCCATAGGTTTTGGACAGTTGTCTGTTCATTTTCATTTGTTTCCAGAAATTTTTTGATTTCTTCTCTTATCTCATTATTGACCCATTCATTGTTCAATAGTCTACTGTTCAGTCTCCATGAGTTTGCAAGTTTTTGAAGTTTCTCTTTGAGTTTGATTTCGAGTTTCAAGGCCTTGTGGTCTGAGAAAAAGTTTGGTATTATTTCAATTTTCCTAAATTTACTGAGGCTTGCTTTGTGCCCTATTATGTGGTCTATCTTTGAAAAACTGCCATGAGCCTTTGAAAAGAATATGTATTTTT